ATGGCTTACATTCAGGTCTTTGATTCATTTCGAATCTACTTTTGTGTATAGGGTTAGACAATGATCCAGTTTCATTCCCTTACATGTAGTTATCCAGTTTTGCCAACGCCAACTGTTGAAGAGGCTGTCAGTTCCCCCTTGTATGTCCATGACTCCTTTATCATATATTAATTGACCATATATGTTTGGGTTAATGTTTGGAGTCTCTATTCTGTTCCACTGGTCTGTGGCTTTGTTCTTGTGCCAGTACCAAATTGTCTTGATTACTGTGGCTTTGTAGTAGAACTTGAAGTTGGGGAGCGAGATCCCCTCCCTCAACTATATTCTTCCTTCTCAGGATTGCTTTGGCTATTTGGGGTCTTAGGTGGTTCTATATGAATTTTTGAACTATTTGTTCCAGTTCGTTGAAGAATGCTGTTGCTAATTTGATAGGGATTGCATTGAATCTGTAGATTGCTTTGGGCAGGATGGCCATTTTGACAATATTAAATCTTCCTAGCCAAGAGCATGGGATGAGTTTCCATTTGTTAGTGTCCTCTTTAATTTCTCATAAGAGTGTCTTGTAGTTTTTAGGGTATAGGTTTTTCACTTCGTTGGTTAGGTTTATTCCTAGGTATTTTATTCTTTTTGATGCAATTTTGAATGGAATTGTTTTCCTGATTTCTCTGTTAGTTCACTGTTAATGTATAGGAAAGCCACAGATTTCTGTGTATTAATTTTGTGTCCTGCAACTTTGCTGAATTCCGATATTAGTTCTAGTAGTTTTGGCAATCCTCTAGTTTTAAGGATACGTAAGACCATTCCTAAAATTGATCTTTTGGGGATTTACACCTGGGACACCTAGTATACATCAATTGAAAATAGAATCAGAATCAGAAGTCTGGCTAGGCCAGAGGCACAGCTTCCCAAACTATTTATATTCTTGGTGATTTGGGGAGGTAACTGATCCTCTTGGGAATCTGATACAAACTATACACCCTTTCTCCGGGAACACATAGACACAAAATGCTCTCTCTGATTTCAAAGTGTTCATGGATCTCCCACCCGCAGATTCTTTCTTTCATGACTGCCTAGCCATCTGGAGCCCCAAGCTAGTTCTGAAAATTCCCAAAGGATTGTCAGGGGTTAAATGGGAAGCGGCCTCTACATAAATTACGACCTCAATCAACAGGTGGCTTTGCTGTGGTTGGCTGGGGGCCCGAGGGGTGCAATCAGGGGAACTCCGCCTGGCTTTCATCCTTCCCAGCGTTGGCCGGGCATCTGTCAGGCTTGGTTGGGTGGGTCTGAACTGCCCAGGTTCAAAGGTTCGCTGGGATGACAAAGAGGTATTAAGGCTTATCTGTAAATATTAATGTTCTTTAGAGTTGACGTGAGGTTTCCTTTCTGAGCCAGAGCCCACATAAGGAAACTCATCCCAGGAATTAATTCCCTCAGCTTTTCTTATGCCGAGGGGACTTGTGGGGTCGGGGGCACCTTAATCAGGTCGCCAAGCCTCCTGCGATATAAGCGTGTATGGAAGGGTTCACTCTCCGAGGGTTTGATCTTGACAGAAAGGATGGGGTGAGACAGGTGCCATGAGCCCCACCTTTCTTGGGACCCAAGGTTCCCCTGTAACTCCAGAGCTCCTCCCTGGGGGGCCTGACACCCTAACCGACGTGCCCTTCCGTTTGGGTGTGTGGCGGAGCCACTCCACCCCACCTGTGCAAGGCCTACCCAGGAGCAGACCTGCTGAGACCGCAGAGCTAGTTATTGGGGCTGAGAGCTCCGCCCACCGTCCGGAAACAGCAAAAGACTTGGGATGGGAGTCTGGCGCTCTGGAGCCAGCTCCCAGGACCAGCCTGCGCGCTGAGGGCCCGCCTCCCGGCCCTCTACGCACGCCGAGGTACCGCCTCCCGGCCCCGCCACCAGGGGCTCGGGCCCTACTCCGGGTTCTCGGGCCACTTCTGACCCAAGCACTGGGGTTCCCTGGCCCCGCCCCTTCTCGCAGAGGGCCCGCCTCCC